GGATTTCGAAGCGAATGAAGCGGTGGCGACGAGGGCCTCCCAGCAGGCCCACAGGCGAAAACGAGGGAATGGTAACGGTATCGGTACCTCTTCTTTCGCTGATGATGGGCCCTCTCCTTCCGGGGACAAATTGCTGTCTGTCCCCGCAGGACGAAGGCCGTACCTGGGCTAGCTACCGAGACGAGGTCATATCCCAACGGGACGGGTCAAATCCTAACAGGCTGGGTCAGATTTCAAAATGTCAGGAAATCGGCATGGTCAGAACCGAACCAACATAAACAAACTCTGTCCAATGTTGTTGTTGTTGTTGTTGTTGTCCGAAGGGTATCCCTTCAGGATAGCGCACTCTGTTGGCGCTTGGAAGCGGGGAGGATTCGGAACTGAACCCCCCCCCCCTGGATTGAAGGGGGGGGGTCGGTGGTGGTGGTGGTGTGGTGGTTTGTGGTGATGGTGGTGGTAGTGGTGGTGTTGGTGGTGGTGGTGGTGGTAGTGGTGGTGGTAGGTCGTGGCGGTGGTGGAGGTGGTGGTTTGCGGTGGTGGTAGTGGGGTGGTGGGGGTGGTGGTGGTGGTGGTGGTGGTGGTGGTGGTGGTGGTGGTGGTGGTGGTGTGGTGGTGGTGGGTGGTGGCGGTGGTGGTGGTGGTGGTGGTGGAGTGGTGGTTGGTGGTGGTGGTGTTGGTGTGGTGATTTGTGGTGGTGGTGGTGGGTTGTGGTGGTGGGGGTGCTGGTGGTGGTTGTGGCGGTGGTGGTGGTGGTGGTGTGGTGGTTTGTGGTGGTGGTGGTAGTGGTGGTGGGTTGTTGTGGTGGTGGTGGCGGGTTGTTGTGGTGATAGTAGTGGTTGTGGTGGTTCGTAGGTTGTGACGGTGGTGGTTGTGGTGGCGGTTGTGGTAGTGGTGGTGGTGGTGGTGGTTTGTTGTTGCGGTGGTGGTTGTGGTGGTGGGTTGTGGTGTTGGTTGTGGTGGTGGTGGTTGCGGCGGTGGTGGCGGTGGTTTATGGTGGTGGTGGTGTTGCCTTCGGGTCCTCCGGCCACCGTGCCTTGGCCCTAAGTCAAAAATCTAATGAATGTCTCGTGGGGTCTCGTCCGAGGGGTCTCGGGGGCGTCAGAGGAGCATCTGTGAAGCCTCCTGGGCGTCTCTTGGGCGTCTCTTAGACCTTCCAAAGGGCCTCCCGGCGGCTTTTGGGGGGCGAGGGCTCGATATGGCGATTTGTGCTTCCCCTCGGCGGCCTCTGGGCACTCTCCGGATGTGGGAATTTTACATACACGCTCCAAGACGGAACCATATAGGATTAGCGTACTCCAAAACGGAGGCCCAAAAATCCCCTCAAGAATCCAGAGAACTCCTTGCCAGGGATCGTCCAGAATCCTCAGGAATCCTTAGGAATTCTCCAGAATTCTTCAAGACTTCTCTGGAATCCATCGGCTTCCTCAGGAATCCCTCAGTGATCGTCAGGAATGCCGAAAGAATCTTGCCGGAGTCCATCAGGAATCCTTCAGGGTTTCCCAAGTCTCTTGAGGAATCCTTGAGGAAACAATGAGAGAAATCGCCAGGAATCCCTAGGCATGCTCAGGAATCCGGAAGAATCCTTCAGGAATCCTTCAGGAATGTGTTGCAAATCACCCTCAGGAATCCTTCGGGAACCCTCAGAAAGCATCAGCAATCCCTTGGAATCCGTCCAAAATCCTGCGGAGGCTGCCAAGACGCCCCAAGAGGGCTCCAAGAGGACCCCCGAGAGGGCTCCAAGAAGCAAACATCGAATCCATGATGGTCCATACGTTTTTGTATGATTTTAGCGCCCTCGCCTCTCCAGGTTGCCGAATGCCCAGGACAACCCAAAAACCCCAAGATGGCCCCAAGACGCCTCTCATATGCCTTCAAGACGGCCCAAGACGGCCCAAGAGGCTCCCCAAGAGGGCCCAAGAGAGACCCAGGCGGGGCCCAAGAAAGAACCCGACCTGTTTTTTCGAGCCCCCTGACCGCCAGCAGGCCCTCAGGCGGCCCAAAGACGCCCCAGAGACGCCTCTAAGAGGCCTCAATAGGCCCCCAAGGTGTCAAAAGAACCTTCAAGATGCATCCAAGAATCGTCCGGCCCATCACCCAAGCACGATGGCGGGATGGGCCGAAGGCCACTCGTAGGGAATGGTGAGGAGGAGGGGACTCAGGACAGGACTCGTGCAGCACGTCGATGCGTGCTTCGTTTACTCTGGTCATGCTCGCCTTTTTCCACCTGATCACGCGAAGAAGATCCTGGTAGCTCAGTCCCGTGTCCAAGCAGTCGGCCTTCAGCACTCCGTAGTACTCCAGCGCCTTCCGAGCGGCTCCGGAACGCCCCCCAAGAGACGAACGTGTGACGGGCCAAGTGGTCCGCTCTTGAAGTACTGCACCGCTTCCTCCGACATGATCCTCCTGACTCCTCCCCCTCTCCGAGAGCAAGGGACGGAGAGGGCGAGCAAAATCGTGGCTGGCTGGTGCGACACTGCTCTGCGCGGTCGGCGGAGAAGCAGGGCGGACACGAGGAAGGTCGGGGACACAGCGGCCGCATGTCCAACCAATCCTTCCCGCTTCTCCTCTTCCTCCAGCTCCCCCTCCAGCTCCTCCTCCTCCTCCTCCTCCTCCTCCTCCTCCTCCTCCTCTTTCCCCTCCCTCCTCCTCATCTTTCCCCTCCTCCTTCCCCCTTCTCCTCTTCCTCCAGCTCCTCCAGCTCCTCCTCCTCCTCCTCCTCCTCCTCCTCATCTTTCCCCTCCCTCCTATCGGCGGAGCGCCCAGGGGGGGGGGGGGCAGAGGGGGCGAGCCGTCTCTGAGCTCAGGAGGCCTCCGGACTCCTGCGAAACCTCCTGGGCCATTGGCCATCGCCAAAGCCACAAAGGGCGTCTCAGAAACCTCGCCGCATTCAGAGAAGGCCTGCCCCCTCTCACTCCCCCCCCCCCAACATGCGATGTCTGGATTATTCCACTACAAGGCCTCCGGAAATCCGACTCTTCCCGTAGGGCTGGCTTGTCATCCCGAATAGTTTCTCGACGGTCCTGGGGCCAGGTAAGGGCCCTGACTCAGGGGCCGAAACACTCCTCCCCCTCCTCCTCCTCCTCCTCCTCCTCCTCCTCCTCCTCCCTCCTCCTCCTCCCTCCTCCTCCTCTCCTCCTCCTCCTCCTCCTCCTCCTCCTCCTCCTCCTCCTCCCTCCTCCTCCTCCCTCCTCCTCCTCTCCTCCTCCTCCTCCTGCTCCTCCTCCCCCTCCTCCTCCTCCCCCTCCTCCTCCTCCTCCTCCTCCTCCTCCCTCCTCCTCCTCGACCCTCCTCCTCTCCTCGACCCTCCCCTCGACCCTCCTCCTCCCCCTCCTCCGCCTGTCGTCCCCGACCCGCCTCCCCTCCGTCCCTCCAGCCGCCCCTCTCCTGCTCACGACGTGAGCACGCCGCCCCCCCTCCCCCAGCGCGCCGCCGATTCTCCGAGGAGGTGGGCGGAGGGCTGGGGGGGCCCGAGGCCGACGGAGCCAGGAGGGGGAGGCGCGCACCTCGCGCTGGCCAACCACGAGGGAGGGGCAGCCCTCCTGCTCCTCCTCCTCCTCCTCCCCCCTCCTCCCCTCCTCCTCCCCTCCTCCTCCTCCCCCTCCTCCCTCCTCCTCCTCCTCCTCCTCCCCTCCTCCTCCTCCTCCTCTCCTCCTCCTCCTCCTCCACCTCCTCCTCCCCTCCTCCTCCTCCTCCTCCCTCCTCCTCCTCCTCCTCCTCCTCCTCCTCCTCCTCCCTCCTCCTCCTCCCCTCCTCCTCCTCCTCCTCCTCCTCCTCCTCCTCCTCCTCCTCCTTCCTCCCCCTCCTCCTCCTCCTCCTCCCCCTCCTCCTCCTCCTCCCTCCCCCTCCTGCGCACTCCGACCCTCGGCCTCTCGGTGTAACGGCTCCCCCCTCGTCCTCCGCGATCGGGGGACGTCAGCTGGCCCAGGGCGCCTTATCCCGAGCTGTCCTCGACCTTGACGGTCGCGAAGGCCCCCGGAGTTGGGTCGGGCATGCCCCCCGACAGTAGAGGCCTCCTAGATGGGGTTCGAGTAGATGGGGTCGAAGGATCGCGCCGCATCGCCAATGCATCCCGATGCATCGGCGATGCACCGGCGATGCATTGGCGACGTCAGCGTGTGGAAACACGGTCTCCGCATCGAGCCGCATCGTCGATGCATCGGCGATGTGACACGATCCACCGACCACATCTACTCCGACCCCATCTGGGAGGCCTAGATACAGGCGGCCGTTGGAAGAAGCATTCCAACTAGTCCAAGAAAGGGCACAGCACCCGTCGAGCACAGCAAGACAGAGTGCCCCCGGACTATGTTTTGACTGCGTCTGAAGATCCCCCCTGTGCCCGACTTGGCCCTGGAGGCCGAAGCCGACGGGCAACCGCCCGCCGTGAGTCGCGCCCCGGCGCGCGGAGGCCTCTGCCTTCGGGGCTCTGGCGGCGGCCGCTCGGGACGGCCCCGGCGGGCAGCCGCGGCACGCCGTCGGCGGGGCGCGGCGGCCGGAGCGTCTCCCGAGGCCGGGAGGGCCCTCTGTGAGTCCACAGACTTGCAGTCGGGCTGCTGACAGCAGGAACGGTAAACAAGGGACGAAGCCCCTTCTTGGCCCCACAAGCGCCTGCGTGCACGAGGAAGGCCAGAGGAAAAGCCACAGCAGGACCTAAGGAATGTCGGGCCCCTTTCTTACCCGAACTGTTCCTTATGGCAGCGACCTGGCTGTACGGTGGGGGCGTTGGATCAGGAACCTTTCGATAAGGAATGCAGGGTCTGGAGGCCGGTGGAACTCCGACCGAGGCTTGGCCATGGATGTCACCGCCGCCCTCTTCAGACCAGGAACCCTCCAGGGTCTGCAGCATCCTGGGCGCATTCCTTAACCAACGCCCCCACCGTATCCGAACACCTCTCCCCCTCAAGCCTCGAGCACAGGGCCGAACCTCGAGCTGGGACTGGGACGCCGCTCTCTTTTCGAGCGCCACGGCGCGTCAGAGAGCACTGAGCGGCCGCTCGTCCCAGTCGTCGGCGTCGTCGCCCTCCTGGGGGGGGGGGACACTCACACAAGTACCGACACCGCGACTCCCTGGACGTTCTCCTGGGGGCGTTCTGACTAGAATCTCGAGGAGAGAACCCTGAAAATGGCGACGAGAACCTTCTGATTACGAGGCCCCCAGGATATCCTTAGGTCGGGCCTGCCCCCCTACAGGGGGACTTTGAGCGAAAAATGAAAAAAATAGTCAGAACATATCCAACACATGTTCAAAAATACCAAACGAATCGTCCCCATACTATTTGTTTGACTACTTTTGCATATTTCTCCTGTAGAAAGACAGGCCCGACTTAAAGACAGCCTCGGAAAAGGCCCGCGAGGCCTCTCGCAAGGCGCGAGGGCTTCTGAGAAGCCCCGCCGCCTTCTGAGACGGCCTGTCCCCTCCCACTTCCCCCCCTGGGCCCGCCGCCGAGGGAAGGGAGGGCACCCGTCGGTTGGAGGAAGTGGGCAGAGGCACGAAGCAGGAGGGCGTTGGAAGTACAGTCGGGGCGTTGACCTAAGGAACCCTGAATAAGGAACGAGGCCCCTTTTTCCATAAGTTAAACTTCGATTTCCGATCGAAAACATAAGGACAACCTGGGGCAAGCTGTGAAACACGTAAAGAACGCGGAGCCCCTCCCCAACGAAAAGGGTTCCTTCTTCAGGGCCCCGACTGTAGGCTGGAGCTCCGCCCGCCTCCTGAGGAGGAGGAACGCAGGAAACCACTCGACCCTTGAAGGACGGCGCCTAGAAAAAAGACCGGAACCTGGGACTCCAAGAAGAGCTGCTTTCAACGACCGGTGGATTGCGGCATCGGTGCCTCTTCCTCGTGCTGCTGGGAAGCCCCTGGCCCAAGGTGCCCCGAGGACTTCCCGGGAGGCCCCCAGGGCCTCCCAGGGATCTCCCGGGAGCGCCCTCGCAGGGCCCAGTGGGCCCCAGGGGCCCCAAAATGGAGCGACCAGCTGGGGGGCACCTTGGGCCAGAGGCACATTTCGGGCCGGGCGAACGGGGGGGATGGCAAAGGGGGTGGTTGAGAATCAGCTCACGTAGCTGACTTTCCCGGCGCCAGCAGGCGCCCATATGTATCAAGGAATGGGCCCGGCGGCGGGGCCGAGACCAGCTGCATGCAGCAGATTTCGCACCCTAAAACGACGCGAAGATCGGGACAAAATCGTATCAGGATAACTCGAAATCTCTGAGAATCGGCGGGTTTGGAGGATGTATTGGGCGCCGCGGCCGCTCCAGGAGCGTTCCGGAACGCTCTGAGAGCGCTCGGGAACGCTCTGGAGCGATTTATCACGATCCTAGCCCTGTTTTACACCCCCGCCCCTTTCCCCATCCCCCTCCTTCGTCCGACCCGAGCCTTTGGCACCCCCCCGACGCTGACCTCGGCACCGCTGGCTCCGCCGGCGCCGCTCGCGCCAAGGCGCCGCCCGCGGCGTCGAGGCGCGCCCGCGCCGCTGCCCGCGGGCGTGCTGCGCGCGCCGGCGCCCTCGTCGCCCGCGTCGCCCGCGCCGCGGCGCGGGGGGCCCTCGAGGGCCGCGCCTCCTTGGAGAGGCCCGCGAGCTTTTGCTGGCGGCGAGCGAGGGGGGCTCCTCCTCCTCCTCCTCCTCCTCCTCCTCCTCCTCCTCCTCCTCCTCCTCCTCCTCCTCCTCCTCCTCCTCCTCCTCCTCCTCCTCCTCCTCCTCCTCCTCCTCCTCCTCCTCCTCCTCCTCCTCCTCTCCTCCTCCTCCTCCTCCTCCTCCTCGCCTCCTCCTCCTCCTCCTCCTCCTCCTCCTCCTCCTCCTCCTCCTCCTCCCTCCTCCTCCTCCTCCTCCTCCTCCTCCTCCTCCTCCTCCTCCTCCCCCCTCCCCTCCTCCTCTCTCCTCCTCCTCCTCCTCCTCCTCCTCCTCCTCCTCTCCTCCTCCTCCTCCTCCTCCTCCTCCTCCCCCTCCTCCCCCTCCTCCTCCTCCTCCTCTCCTCCTCCTCCTCCTCCTCCGCCTCCTCCTCCTGCCTCCTCCTCCTCCTCCTCCTCCTCCTGTTCCTCCTCCTCCTTTTCCTCCTCCTCCTCCTCCTCCCTCCTCCTCCTCCTCCTCCCCTCCTCCCCCTCCTCCCCCTCCTCCTCCTCCTCCTCCTCCTCCTCCTCCTCCTCCCTCCCTCTCCCCCCCTCCCCCTCCCCCTCCCCCTCCCCCCCTCTCCTCCTCCTCCTCCTCCTCCTCCTCCTCCTCCTCCTCCTCCTCCTCCTCCTCCCCCCTCCTCCCCCTCCTCCTCCCCTCTTCCTCCTCCTCCTCCTCCTCCTCCTTTTCCTCCTCCTCCTCCTCCTCCTCCTCCTCCTCCTCCTCCTCCTCCTCCTCCTCCTCCTCCTCCTCCTCCTCCCCCCCCCCCCTCCTCCTCCTCCTCCTCCTCCTCCTCCTCCTCCTCCTCGCCCTCCCCCCCTCCTCCTTCTCCTCTCCTCCTGCTCCTCCTCCTACTCATCCTCCTCCTCCTCTTCCTCCTCCTCCGCCTCCTCCTCCTCCTCCGCCTCCTCCTCCTTCTCCTCCTACTCATCCTCCTCCTCCTCTTCCTCCTCCTCCGCCTCCTCCTCCTCCTCCGCCTCCTCCTCCTTCTCAACCTGGGGGAGGCGAGAAGGAAGAGCCCGTCTCAGAAGACGGCGGGTCTTCTCAGATTCCCTTTGGCCTTCTGTGATGCTTCCTGCGTCTTCGGGGAAGGCTTAGGGAACGTCTGGGGAGGCCAGAGGACTTCCGAGCCTCCTGAGAGGGCCCGCCCCTTCCCACTCCCCCCCCGGGCGCGCCGCCGATTTCTCTCGGCGGTGGACAGACCTCCCTTTAGTAAACCTCACCTTAGTGAAAACGGCCTGAGACCGAAACCGACGGACCCGGGCCCGCAGACATGACGGCCGCGCCGCCCCCTCGCGAACCGAAAGCGGCCAACTCCTCCATCGACGCGTCAGGGCAGGAAGTATCTATCAACCTCCGATTCTCTTCCAAGGCACAAGCGCGCCACCCAAGGATTCTCAATCGATGGCTACACGACGCACAGAACATACGAGCGCACAGAGACAATATTGGCAGGAGGCCTGCCCAACCCCGATGCACACGGCACGTGCACGTGCGCCGCGAGGCGGGCGCCCCCGGGCAGCCACAGAGCTCCCAGGGCAGCGCACCGCACGCGGGCGACCCGCGGCAGGCGAGCGAGCGACCGACTTCTCCCCGCGCCGTCCCTCGGCGCGCACGCCGGCTCGCCCCGCGGCGCGGGCGCGCCCGCGCCCGGGCCCTCGTCGTCCGTCTCGTCCTCGCCCCCGAGGAGGCCGCCCTCGAAGGGCCACGCGTCCCCGTCGGACTGCGGCTCGATGGACCCTGCGGCGTGCCGTCGCTCGGACGTCCCTCTCCCGCGCAGATCTTCGGTTTCGTGCGCGTTTCTTTGGCTCGATGGTCCAGGATGGTCCTCGATGGTTCTCGCCGAGACAGACAAAAAGCACACGTCCGAGCGATGCCAAGGTGAAAAAGGCCTCCGGGGCCCCAGAACCGTGTGGCGATGGACCGCGTGGTGGCCTCGGAGCCCCCGGCGGCCTCACCGCGGGGTCCGCTGCCGCACGGTCTTGGAACCCCGGAGGCCCTGGTCGCCCGAGGCGTCCTCGGAAAACGGCCGGAGTCCCCAAACCGCGCGGTGACCCCGAATCCCCACTGACTCAGTACGCGGTGTGGTCACTACAACGGTGGGGAGTCCCCGAGACGACGCCATGACAGAGACAAAATAGGACCAAAACAAAACATAAAAGAGGGCATGACGATGCCAATCCTGGACTCTGTGGGGTTTCCGATTGGGCACCAAATTTTGGGCCCAACTCGGGGCGCCCATCCCCGATGTCCGAATAGCTCCATTCTGAGAGGCCAATTTTTTGGGGGGGGGACTCGGGGATTGGGGGAGGGAGACCAATCGCCTGCAAGAGAAGTGGGAGATTTCTGAGATCTGGCGGTTCTGGAGGATGTACCGGGCACCGCGGCCATGTCTGAGCTTCCCAGGACGCTCTGAGAGCGTCCCGAGACGTTCTGGAACGATGTATCCCAATCCTAGCCCCGCCCGATGGGGTGAAGGGGAGCCTGAAGAAAATCGACCTTGAATCCGGGATGCATCGCCAATAGATCGGCGACAGGCCCCCGATTGCAAATCCGGCGATGAGTGGGCGATTGGAGGTCGATACATCCCCCCTCCTGACGTTGCCCCTGTTGGGGGGCATGGCGCGGCAAGTTCGTGTCGCGACGACTTGCGTGTTGGCTTCTGATAACGCGAATATCGTCCAGTCGTCAACGATCAAGACTTCCCGATAGCGCAGATCGGTCGATGCAGGCCAACACTGGGCCTCCGGCTACATTCAACCTTGAACGGCCGCCCGCGCTAGGGTCGCCGCCGAGTCGACACGGCACGAACCGTCCGTGAGTTCTCTCAATGGCGCCCCCCCGCCCGCAACCCTCGCACCAAGATTGCAGTCTGAGAAGAGGGGAAGCCAAATGAGGGGCGAATTGACGGCCAATGCCTCGCAGTCGTGAGGTGGGAGGCAGCTGCAAAACCCTCGGCGTCTCTCCGCGCCCCCCTGCACTGAGAGGAAGAACTGAGCTCAACTTGCCTCAAATCTCCCTGGGTCAAATGCACACGTGCCTCCGCCCGCTGCCCCGCTCGCAGACTAGCACAGTCGGCTCGGACAGTTTGGCGACCTGGCGCTCCGCGTTGAAGATCTGATGTCAAGTTCCGGAGACCCGTGCCGCTCCCACGGCCCGTCGCATTTTTCTCCGCAGCGCGAGCCCCAAAAAAACCCGCCCCCTCCTGGGGACCGGTTGTTCGTCTCGAGTTGTCTCTGATTGTCCCGGCAGAACAACCTACAGAGACCTCCATCATGTGCTCCTGTCGCCACGCGAGGCGGTCTGCGTTGTGGCAGCTCCCTGCCGCACACCCCACACGCACACCCAATGAAACCCACCGCCGCCGCCATGAAGCCAGAACCCGGACGTGTCTCCCAGGAGGAGGAGGGGGAGGAGGAGGAGGAGGAGGAGGAGGAGGAGGAGGAGGGGGAGGAGGAGGAGGCTGAGGAGGCGGAGGCTGAGGAGCAGGAAGAGAACCATCACTTGGCGAATGGGGAGGCTAAGGGTTGGCCGGCCCGACCCTGACCCGAAACCTCGCACTGGGCCACCAGTTGTTCTCCACAGTGGCCATGGGTGCTGCTGAGACGGCAGTGCGCTGCCGACGCTGAATGCGGTGCTGAGGCCTGGTGTGGGCGTGCACACCAGGCCTCAGCAGCACCGTGCCGCCACCGCCCACGATCGTGGGGGGTGGGGAAGTGGGGCAGAGCCACTGTCGGGGCGGACTGGCAACCCAAGTCCACCCCCGTGCTCAGAGGCCCCCGTGGGGTTGTCGCCTGGCTGACGGGACCCCAACGCTCGGGCTCTCGGGCTGGCACACACGCGCAATACTCAGATGGGCCCAAATGTGGCGTTGCCCACCTGGCCACAATCCCGTTCCTCCGCCGCCTGTGGCGGGGAGGTGGGAAGGTGGATCTGGGCAGCAGCCAGGGCGGGCAAGGGAGCCCACAGTCCACCCCCGTGCCGAGCAACGAGATTGCGCCAAACAGCACTCTGCAGCGAAAAGGACGGCATGCCTCGCCTGGCTGGCGGTACCCGAAAGCTCGGGTACTAGGGCTGGCTGCGGGACAACAGCACCGCCAGTCGGAGCGAGATGCAAAACCCCAGGTCGAACCTGCATCGGGCCAAGGCGTAGCTGCGGCCAGGCCGCAGGAAAAAAGTGAGCGCCCCTTCCGCCTGAGTCGGCGCGCCTGGCACGCGCGCGGGGAGCGCGCTCGCACGCGCGCACAAATACACTGAGAATGAGGCGACGCCAGGACGACTCGGCACTGTCCACCCCTGTCGTAGAGAACGCCAGGACGGTGGGCAGGCCTCATCCCTGGTGGGGGCCTGTCTGCGCCTGGGCTTGAGCTGCCTCTCTAGGCAGCTGCGCCAGCGGCACGGGAAAGAGACAGAGCACAAGTTGCCCTCCTTAAAGGAACCGCACTTATGGCGCACCAGAAAACTTGTTGGCTGTTCGAGGTGCTCGTGGTAGAACAAAGTATGCCCCTGGGGTTGGAGGCCAGGCTGGACATCTGGGGCAGTGTCCAGGGCAATCCATTGCACTGCGTCGCTCCTCCTGTGCTTTGAACGTGCGGACGCGGATGCGGCAAATCGTACACTGGCGCTGGCCATGCACTATCGCCCAGACGTGGGCCCTCGGAGTCTCGCGAGGGGCCGCAGGGGGAGGAGGGGGGGGGGGGCGGGAGGCGGGGCCCCAGGGTCCCAGGAGGCCAAGGCCGAAGCAGCCCCCGAGGGAGGGGAGAGGCTCTTCATGGGCTTGGCCAGCGCCTTGTTGCGACGAGGGGCTGTAGCGGGCGACTGTCCAAGGGCTTTGGACACATGCCGACGGTATTTCTTCAGCAGAGCAGTGTATTTCTGGTGCTGCTCTGCTTCGTCGAGACTAGGTTGACTGCCTTGGTTCGCCTCGGCCTCGGCAATCCTATCTGCGGCATCGCTGCCGCTAGCTAAACGAAACTCGCCGCTGTCGGGGGGGGGGGGGGGGGGGCAACTTCAGATGTTGGTGAGCCTTGACTTTCTGGGGTTTGGGGCCGAGGTCACAGTGGCCTCCGCCCGCGAGCACTTTGCAATATGACCATTGGTTGCGTCGAGGGTATCCAGCCTCGCCGTGCAGCTGCAACGCACCTTTATAATCCGAGTTAACCATGTCAACGCGAGGCGAGAGCCTGCCTGCCGCCGCTGCGGCGAGGTGCTCAGCGGCCCCCGAGGTTTGGGCCCCCAGGGGCCCAACGCGGCCATAAAAGGTGGCAAACTCCTCTCCATCCACCATGCGCACCACGGCAAACCCAGCAGCATTGAAGTTATAGTGGCCGTGGCACGTGCAACTACCATCCATGTAGACATCACCATTGGACGCTTCCTCCGGCTTTGAATTAAGATCTCGACACCAAAACTTAGCGGCCTCCAGACCAGTGCCAGGGGGGGAGGGTTGCCCGCAAAGTTGGGCGTAAACTGAAACCCAAAGTGGAGCGGGGAGGTGTCAAGAATCGGGTCTTTGAACCTACGAAGCTCCGCACTAATGAACCCTTCTCTGGCCCGGGCAGTCTTGGGGCACTCGAGGAGGCGATGTTGGAGGTCATCTTCGTGGTGTCCACATAGGCAACCTTGGGGCACATCCTATCCTGCTGAAGGTGCGCGCCCCATGGTCCAGATACTCTGGGTGGCGACGGCCAGCAGCGCGCGGCGCTGCGCTTGGCCAGCCCGACTGCGCTGAGGACGGTGCGGAGGGCTGAAACATCAAGCCGCTCGCCATGATGCCCCATCTTGGTGGCAGCCTGGACTGCTAACTTGTCGCGCCAGGCAGCCTCGAGCTGCTTGGCAATGTAGGCTGAGGAAGTTCCCGGGAGGGGATGCACGAGGCCCGCGGGAGTCACAAAACGGAAGGGACTTTAAAAACGACCGCCCCACCCTGGCCAACGAGAGGTCCGCCGCGCTGAGGGGGGGGCCTACAGGAGCCCCAAGCGTCGGAAACTCTCGGCAAACCCGCCCCCCCCCCCCCTGAGGTTGATCTGTTGGAGGCAGGCCACGGCCGCATCGGGGCGGGCGTTGGCCCCCCAGACAGGACGGCGCCGCATGAGCGCGGGCCCGAGGCCCGCTTTCCACGGGGGCCCTGGAAGATGAGGAGCGAGAGAGCACGGCTCCTCGAGGCACACCTAGGACCTGCTGCAGCTAGATCTTGAGTTTGGGGCCTGCACGGGCATCGTGTTGTTGATGCCCGTGACCTCAACTCCGAACGTGGTGGCGGCTGCAAGACCAGTATTGTGCAACTTCTCACCGTTCCCTCCAGCATGTTTAAACATTCTGATACGGGCCATGCGTTTCTTAATCTTGTTAATGCGCTCCACAAGCTTTCGTTCCTTTCGCCAACGCCTTTGGGGCCGCCCAGCCCCGCTTTCCATGCCAGGGTTGGGTCCTGAGGTGTCCGTGGAGGCCCAGCGAGCGTCCCGAGGGTCTTCCGAAGCTTGTTTTGGAGGTCCCGGTTGGAGGCTAAATAAAGCCTGGTTCTTCTTGGCTGCGATCTGCCACTCGAACTCGTGCTTGATGCATCTGGCTAGCGACCGAGCAGCCAAATGCACTTGACTGGTCATTACCTCATAGCTCCTAGCATGGCACTGCAACAATAAATCGTCGATACACATCGCGAGGCGAATGTAGCCGTGCGCGGCTGCCCACTGGTCGAAAGGAGCAAGGACATACATTTGCACAAGATACGTCGCCCACCC